GTTAATTGATAGTTAAATTATATCTCTGTCTTTGTTTTTCCTTCAAATTAAGTAAAGATAAACATATGATTTAATACTTAAAAACAAATATGCCTTACATTTTTATTTTAAGGCATAATTGTTTTTAACCATTAAGTCAGCCATTAGTTTAAGCCTTTACAGATATTATACTAGTAATAACAAAACAATAAATCAAAATATTTTTTATGCCAGTAATGTCAGTAATACATGCAAGTATATTACAAAAAGAGAGGTTAGATTATTAATAATAATAAATATATTACATTAAATTATTTCGAATAATAAAATTTATTATTATTCTTACATACCTGATTGAAGACGAGTATGAAAATCAGCATTTTCTATTATTTTATATAACTCTCCTTTATATTCATATATTTTTTCTATGACATCACTTTTCTCACTAGACGTCGCCATGTTAGATTGTATCACTTTCCGCTCAAATAGCGTAAATGAAAACCGCTACAAAATATGACGTCCTCTCCCTCAACTTGTTGAGATGTAACAACTGAGCGGAGCGTCATTCAGTAGAAAATCTAGTAATGTTGCCCAACTGTTGAGTCTACTGAATGCAGCCAATGTGCGCATTCAGTAGAAAAAGCGCTCAGTGAGCAATCAACGATTATTGGTTCTTGCTATTAGATCCCTAAATCTAGACCAATTACATTGACAAATTACTCAACTGTTGTGCAACTGTTGAGTCTGCTGAATGCAGCCATTGACAAATTACTCAACTGTTGTGCAACTGTTGAGTCTGCTGAATGCAGCCAATGTAAACTTGTGGATCGACTTATAGTTCCTGCACACAGGACGCGGTAATACTTCCCGCGCGGCGGAAGTTCGTGCGACAGCCAATCAATATGTTGCTTTTCCATAAGAGCTAGAAGGTTATTACGGAAAGCAGCATATTGATTGGCTGTCGCGCGAATTTCTGCAGCGCGGCAAGCATTACCGCGTTGTGTGTGCAGGAACCATAATACACACAGGATGCTTGCCGCGCGGTGGAAGTCCGCGCGACATCCAATCAATATGTTATTTTTCCGTAAGAGCTAGAAGATTATTACAGAAAGTAGCATATTGATTGGCTGTCGCGCGAACTTCCGCCGCGCGGCAAGCATTACCACGTCCTGTGTGCAAGAGCCATTATGCGTCCTGTGTACAGGAGCCAATAGTGTTTCTAGTAATAGAGTGCATCCGGAATCTGAACGCAGCCAGCAGGTGGGGCACTTTTTCAAAAACCGGAAATGCAACAGCACGTGACGCATGTCATATGATCGCGAGGGAATCAGGTGCTTCTATCTTCTACTGGATCAGTCAGCAATCGATAATAGGTGGCTACGTACGATTTATTTCAGTTGAATTCAACAATGAAGAGTAGTATGAGGAAACTCCAGGATTCTCAATATTTCTTCGTTCTGATCATCATCTGTCAATTCACGTTTTTACATGCCGGTCCGTCTGCACCCGTTGTAATATGGTGTTTAAATAACCAATCCGACACCGTTAACCCGACGCAACTCAATGCAGCGTCAAATCCACTACAGAAATTATCGTCTGAGGATTTCGAAAGAACTTTGTTCCAATTAGGCAAGATCATTGACCTGCTTATCGTCGTCGATGAATTATGTGTTGAAGATTTCAAGAACAATAAGGTTATTTTACATACACACATATATATATTTGTATTATGTAGGATTATTATATATATATATATATATATATATATATATATATATATATATATATTAGATTTAAAGTTGTTTTTAGTTCTGCTATTTTAATTTGCACTTTCAATTTTTAAATCTTATGAAACTATCAAAATATAGCTATATAGTATAGTATAAATTAATAAATTAATAAAGTTGTATCATTTAATACAAAATTTTATTGATTTGAAGAATAAAACAATCAAATTTACTGATATTAAGAATTGAAATAGATATAAGTACACTATATATTAAATAATAAATTAAAATTTAGGAAGTATTTATAAAGTGCAATTAAATTTGTAGTAGTAGAGAAATAATTGCATCTATAAATTATAGAATAAAATTGGATATGTTACAGGTTCTGTCAAATGCTACCAATGGCTCCAAACTATATTATCTTCCTTGTGTTGATACACCATACTCTGCTTTCCGCAAAACCTTTATTTATAAACAGATGAAGACAATAGAGGATATAAACGATGATCATGAATTAAACATGATTTTAAAAGATACCGATTCAAGCACGTGCGTAGCACTCACAGGAAAGGAATGTCGGTATAGTCACAATGAACGTATCAAGCGTGATGTTGTTCTTGATAACTCTACAGATTTCAAAATAAAAACAGACAGAGTTCTTCTGTATTCTAGTGCACCACTATCATTTAAGGTAAAGGCAGTATTTAAATTAATATTGAAATTATATGAAGAAATCTTTAAAAAAGACTCCTAATAGAGTAAAACTCCTGTTTTGAAATATTTATTATTTAAACAATAGATCATGAAAATATTTTCAAGATGTTAGAAAGGAGAGAGTTATAACATTCTTAATACTACAAATCACTATAAGAACTATTTTCACTATAAGAACATTAAGATTGTGTATATATAATCAAAGCAATTGTTACAGGTTAAACAAAATGCTGTATCACTTCCTAGTTCCAAGGCTACAGCATCAACTCATATAGATGGAGACAATACACTGATCTTGACTATTGATTTTTCCGATATTGAAGAAATTGGTAGTCTGATGCTCGATTTTTTTTTCCCAGTTAAAAGTATGGGCTATTACACACTGAAAAAAGTTAATTACAAAACAAGCAGCATGAGTGATTTTCTAGAGACCAAGCTGGACATTTATTTTCCATACAATTTTTCTTATCATTGTTCGCAAAATATAGTTTTCATTAATGATACAATATATTTAAATGTCACAGATATGCAAGTTCAAATTGATTCAAAAGATGCGACGTTTAGCGACGCGTACGACTGTGTCGGTTTCACTAGTATTCCTATTTGGACAGGTATTTTTGTGACTTCATTATTAACTTTGATTATGGCATGGGGACTCACAATGATTATGGATATTCGTACGATGGATAGATTCGATGATCCTAAGGGAAAAACTATAACGATCTCTGCCGCGGAATAAAATATAAAAATAATACCTTCATATAATTGTAATGTATTGTATTGATATATTATATGAAATCTATATCATTACAGAAAAAAATTATGTTTGCGGGTGTATCTTTCATACCAACTATTTACAAAAATTATTTAGATTGTTTTATTTTGACTCAGAATGAGTATCCTCATGTTTATGGAGAAAACAAAAATCAGGAATAGTATTGAGTAGTGATAACAGCTATACTAGTCTCACCAACACATGAAATATCATTAGGAAGACTTTGACCTGAGGTATAAATATTTACACATTTTGTTATATATATATATATATATATATATATATATATATATATATATATATATATATATATA